TTAAGGCTATTATAAAATCATAAATGAACTAATAATAATTAGGTACCTATTTAAAAGGCGGTCGAACTTAGGTATGATGAATCGCTCGGACACGTCGTTTTTGCCCTTTTTAGAATTGTTCAGAACTATCTATTGTTTTCTTATACATCAGGGTATTCCAAAAACACTTTTTTTTTTAATAGAAACCGCCAATTTCTTTCTGATATTTGGATATCGATATTGTATCCAATACCAAAAGTCAACTGTTTTGAAATATCAAAACTCGTAGATTGGCATGTAAAAGGTTGATATACATAAATAATATATACATATTTGTTTCTCAAAAAACCTGCCCACTTGATACTTATATCTTATATCCATCAAATTCATCAGGTGACCCAATCATTTATTAATTTTCGTGGATCTTAAGTAGCGTTCTATCTTTCGTACGTATTTATCAGGATGTTTGACAGTTGGTGACCTGTTAGATGTTAGACGTACCTAAACGGAAAGTTAAGAAGAAAATTTTTTTTAACGGTCTCGTTCGGCCATGGTCTTTTCTGAAGATATTTTCACAAGAACATCGTTGCCTGTTCTACCCAAAATCAAGGGCAGCATTAGATTTTTAAATCGAATAGCCTGTATACTATTGCATTTTTGTATATATATTTTTTTTATTTCTATATGTTAAAATACTATTTTTATTTTTATAACAATTTTATATCCTACCTCAAGAAACCCAATAAAATAGTAATCTATTAAAGGAAATTATTCATTTTTTCAGAAACGCTGATTAAATTTTTTAAATGAGCATAAATTTTAGCAATTAAGTTGGAAGCGCTACTCGGAATTTTAATTTCCTTTCCACGAGACTTTAGGGCTTCTCCTAGATTTTTTGAAATAAAAAACATGGCAATTTGTCTATAACAGGATACAATAATTTAAGCCTGCATCTATAATTCATTAGTTGACAAAAAATTTCTTGCATTACCTGAGGTTTCTATCCAATGAATACGCACCTTTTGAAGTGTTCAACCTTTCTCAAAGGACATACGTGCTTTGTAAACTATACCTACACACCAAGTTATTGATTAGCCATCACGAATTGCATGATTTAAAAACAGAAACGTGTCCTGTGGAACAAGCGTTCATTAACGAGGAATTGTGCTTTTGTCAATGTAACTTCACTAGCAAAATACTAAATATACCGTATATGTTGCATTTTATAAAATCATAGAATGGGTTATTAGTATTACTACTATCAATTATATACGAGCCCCTGCTAGATAATTGAAGCAAACTTCAAAAGGAAATAACAATAATTATTATCCAACATTATAATTCGGTACAAATAATTGCGAAAAGAATAGGCCACTTTCAAGTGCCAGGAATATTGCAAATGATGATATTTTTTGACGCAGATACATGGATGCAACCGAGAATCAACAATATTTTGCAAGATTTCAGTCAGATTATTAAATAAATTAATAAATAAAAGTACCAAATTTAAACAATTAATCACGTGACTAAAAACGCCGGCTCATTGGCTAAAGCGTAAATTAATTTTTTGTTGCCACATTTAAAAATACGAAATTTAAATAAGGTTAACGTTAAAAATTGAGGATAGCAATTTTTTGATATCGAAGTAGACGAAAATAGTTTCTAGGTAGTGAATCCTCGCATTTTTCGGAAAGGGACGCCACTTTTCGATCCCGCATTATGGCAGCAGTTTAAAAATTCGATTTTCAAATTGTTTTATTTCCAAAAATAACCCTTTTTTTTGGAGAAAAAGTATAGAGATGTTAGATGTCATTAGAATGACTAACAATAATTTAAAAATGCTTTGGAAAAATGTGAAAGTGGCCCATTCATAACAGATTTCAAAATAATTTAGTATAGCCTAATTACCTTGAAATTAGTCGCGAAGCAAATAAAAATTCGAGGTACAAAACCAATATTGTCATAATAGATTAGTATGTCGTTTGTATATTATTAGGGGTAGATAGATTAAAAGATAGGGCTAATTCACTTGCTGCGGCCACGAATGCTAAACATCTATTATTACGGAATCGATTGCACTGAGTGAGGATAATAATGTAATCCATGTGCGCTGTAGATACTATAGTCTACTCGTAAATGACAATTGACAACTATTCGGTTCCCAACATAAAACTTGAAGCTTATAGACTGACCAATATAATTAAATAATAATGGCTATTCTTCTAAATTAATAGATGATATTTTAAACAAAAAACTATACAAAAATGCCATTAATTTAATATACCCTAAAAAATTACAAAATAATAATAATTTCAAAAGTATTACTTTCCAAGGACAAGCTAGTAAGAAAATTAGCAAATTTCTTAACAAAAACGATATAAATGTTGCTTTCAAAACTAACAATACAATAGGCTTTCACTTGAAAAATAATAAATCTAAAACTAAAATTTGTGATAAATCTGGCGTTTATAAATTATCTTGTAAAGATTGTCCAAAAGTATATATAGGACAAACAGGTAGAAATTTTGGTACTAGAATTAAAGAACATTACAATAGTTTCAATAAAAAGAAAACAGATTCAAATTATGCTAATCACCTGATAGAATCAAATCATAATTTTAATAATGAATTTCAAATACTACATAATGAAAACAAAGGGATAAAATTAAATATTCTAGAATCTTTAGAAATAAACAAACTTAAAAATTTAGACTTTTTATTGAACGACCAATTAGATTTAAACAATTCACCACTTTTAAATTTATTTACTGTGTAATACCTATTTAAATTAACATAAAATTAGACCAGCTTTCACCTTTTTTATATTTGTCAATTTCACTTTTAAGTCTACATTTTATTTTTCTAAAATCTTTCTGATGAAGCTAAAGTTTAGCGAAACATGTTAAAAGTTTAACAAAAAATTGTGGAAATATATAAGTATTAAAATTTACTTAAAAAATCTTTTATTAGATAATGGATTTCCACCAAGTAAAAGCCGATTCAATCAAAATATAATTAAAATTCAAGACCTGAATAGAATAAATCTTTTCGTTCCAACTATTCACGTTAGGTATGTTTTCCAGCACTGAGAACACTGAATTGTTCGTAAGCCAGTTCTTCCTGAACCCAGAACCAAATGATATCTCGAATCATGAAGATGATATGGGAAGATAAGATGGGAAAAGCTGTAGAAAGCCATTGCTATCCCAACACACAACAAAGTTATAAGTTCATGAGATTCACAATCCAAAATTCTGGAGTTCGTGGAAACGCAATCTAGAGATTCTTTATGGATTCTATGTTTTCTAACATAGTATTCTAAAAAGGTATCTACAACTTGTACAAGAGGCCACTTTGGACCTACAGCGTAGAGCTTCTACGGTGGTTGCGTCTTAGGTTGGGAGACCTAGAGAAAGAATTTGATCGTGCTCGATATTCTGTCTTGCGGTGAGCAATTTTGTATATATAGTATCTAAACAAATGACATTATCGTTGCGTCTGATGCAAAAACGACGATTTGCTGTTGTCGTCTCCACTCCCAACAATCTTGATGAGATTATTGAGAGAATTAAATTGAGGAAGAATACAATTAATGGAGACAAGACCTATGTCTCTGTTCGACGTCTTAATGACGGTAAAAATTGTACGATTTGCACTATAGAAAAACATTTATTGGACGTTTTCCAACAACATTTAACGGACGTTCACAAAATCTCCCAGTGGTCGGTCGCCTACGTTTTAAAGACGCTTTATGTGTTATTAGGGATAGAGAACATAACGGATATTCTGATTTTCCCATTGGCGAAAGGAATGTACAGAGTATTCGAACATGGGACAAGATAATACATTCAAGGATGGAATGAACGAAATACGTGAAGAAGTTGGGCGTGATCGTCAGAAATATTTCTCAGAAAGTTTGAACTCTTCGCCAAGAAATGGATAGAGTTCAGAATAAAATTAAAAAGTTCGAGTGTGACTTGGATTCTGCAAACGTCTCGGCTTCGCCAGCAACTGTATTAAACTATACGTCGGCCAGACATCGTGGGCGATGTACAGGACTCAATATTCGAACAAAAGATCGGAGCTGTGTCAAGACAAAGATCCAATAGGAGTTATAATGAAGGAACTTCTGGCGAAATAGAAGAGGTTTTTACCACAATCAAATGAGGGGACTTTAAAGGGGGGCACCGAAAGTTTCCGCAGCGGAAGAAGAGCACATTTAAAGCGTGACTGTGAAGTACGGCTGAGACTTCGTTCTCCTTGTGATGACTCTCAGCTTTCCATGGGAAACTTGAAATATGGCACCCCATGTTACAGCTACAGAACAGATAGTAGAGTATGGCTGATATGTCGCTCTCATTCTGGAGACTCTTGAAGGGATTTATTCGACTGACATGTGGATAGATAGAATGATTACGAGTATGACGAAGAACATAGCTTTAGAAAACATTATTTTCAAAGACATGTTGTTCTACAAGGACCCTGAAAAGCATATCTTACTGCTGGCAGTAGGCAGATGGAGAATAATAGATGTAATTATTATGGACCCGTGAAGCTATCGGCGTAGGAGTGGAGGTATTGCATTTTCACAGCGTTAAGGCTTATCACGATCATGTTCAATGTTCAGGTTACATTGAACATTTTTTAAATATAGGTATATAAACCGCGTAGTTTGTAAGTTAGAGAGTCAGTTTAAATAAGCGAATTGTTGTATAAAATTAAGTAAAGGCGATAAGTGATTAGTGAATTCTGCGTCAAAAGTCCAATTAAAGTTTTTGGGTTAGTGAAGAGCAGAAAATCTTTTCTATATAAGCAATTAAATAGCTACAATATATATTTAGATTAGAAAATACAAATGAATACAAACAATGCACATGTATCTAAAATTTCCAATCTCAATTATCTTATCTTGAAATGAAAAATCAAAACTAGAATGTAGCCATTAGGTACTTCATAAGTAATAGAAATATTATTGGATAAAAATTGAATATAGATAGTTTGAAACTTATTATTAAACTTACCTTAAATCTCAAATCTCCCTTAGGAGCTTTCGCATAGGGAATTCCCAAAAACTTATAAAACTTCCCTCCATAATAATCTTCACCAGTAGCGCCTTTCAATTTCCCTTGTTGGATTTCCACTATAATATCGGACATTTTCAATTATAATATTTTAAAATGTATTATCAAAACTCTAAATTTTTCGTTATAAAACTTAAGACCGGCGATGCGTAAAAGTTGCAATGTGAACTCGACGATTTATTTTTGTTTTCCCATGTCCTATCCGCGTAGCGTCGAATGAAAACTACTGTAAACTGTGTGTAATCAGCCGGTGCCGTATTGTATAATACAAACGTCGTGACGCTCTTCTAAATGGAGTCTGCGCAAATTACCAAATTTTAACACATTTCCATCAAATTTTTAGATAGCTCTATATCAAAAAAATAAAAAATTATGCAAAATTACTATGAAATTATTTGAACCTAGATAATTAACTGTGTTGAAAGTTTTTCAGATTCACCCACAATATGTGGGTATTCTTTTTCGCGAATTTATTTGGAAATTTTTGGACTATACATTATTTAAACTTTATAGGCTTGGTAGGTTAGGTGATTAAACGCCCAGTATTGTAATTTTATTTTTTCTGCTGGAACTTTTCTTAGTTATTCTCAATATATAATTTGTATGTTGATTCCAACCTATTCAGTTTAGGCTTGCTACAATTTATAACCAATCATCCTGAGCATATTTTTTACCTGTTATGAGATTGTGCCGGCGACTCCTGAAATATATAAATATATATTGTATGCAGAATAAAATACATTATGCCCCATGTAGTACTGAAGTTTACCCTATGAGACTTGAACACAATTTGATCCTGCGGTTAATAAAAAAAAAATCGCACATTTTTTAGTCTTTTCGGCACAAAGTTGGTGAACAAAGAGAAATGTTTTGACATATAGTTACACATTTGTGATAACCAACCATTACCAGTAGGTACTGTCATGACTCTTGGTTTATTCCAAAATCAAAGTCCATTTAACACAACAATAATTTATTCCACGTTACTACACACTCTGACACCAATTACTTCACTAATTAACACAAACAACTTTACTCTTTACAACTCTTACAGAATTCACTATCTAAATCGTATCATAGTCAATCTTGAACTTGAACCTAAAAACTACTAACTAATACCGGCCTTTATATATCCGTAATTTATTCTTGTATAATCCAGAATAAATGCGATAATCTTTTTGCCCAAATAAAGCAGTCTTTTCTGAAATTTTAGGCATGAATTCTGTATACCATGGCGAAAGCGCATCGCGACACTGCCCTCCTCCTGAGGTTGATCGTCCCGATTAACTTCACGCCCATGATATTTCGTCAATCTGTCCAGATGTACAGTATATACTTTCATCTTACTCCTGGTATTGCGCTGAACTCGACAAACCAAATCATTGATCCTCTTGACTATTCTGTAGGGTCCTTCCCATGTTGAAGACAATTTCGGCGACACTCCTTTCTTTTTTGTTGGATTATACAGCCACACCAGATCCCCTTCTTGGAATCTGGCTGAATTGGCTTTCAAGTCGTATCTGGTCTTCATTCGATCACTGGCCAGCTGAATATCCTCCTGAGCAAAATCATGTATCCCCAGAAGTCGTGCCATCACTTCGTCGGCATGATAACATGAGTTCCCTTCCAAAAACGACTCTAGCTGGACTTTCACCTGTTGATTCGTGAACAGCTGCTCTGTAAGCCATTAAAAATTCAGGCAAGTGTTTGTCTCAATCTCACTGGTTCTTTGCGACCACTTTTATCAGGTGTTCCTATGGTCTTATTAAATCGTTCTACCATGCCATCAGACTGTGGATGTGAAGTTGTTGTCCTTGTCTTACGAATGTCCATGATCTCACAAATTTTCCTAAAGATGGCAGATTCGAAGTTTTGTCCCTGATCTGAATGCAACTCTAGTGGCACACCATAACGACTAAAAACTTCGTTCACTAGCACCTGGGCAATCGTGATGGCTTCTTGACTGTGAATAGCGAAAACTTCTGGCCATTTACTGAAGGAATCCATGATAAGCAAGATGTATTTGTTACCACGCTCTGACTCAGGAAATGGTTTGGCAACATCTCGCTTTCAAATGAGAAACCGAAGTTGTACTGTTTCATAGGCCCCCGAGATTTTAGTTTAAGGCATTTACTGGTAGCATAGATGTCGCATTTTTGGCACCAGTTTTTAACGTCTTCATGATAGTGAACCCAGTAAAAACGTTCCCGAATTTTGTCCAAAGTCTTGTTAGCTTCAAAATGTGGCCCTGAAGTTCCGTTATGTATTTCTTTTATTACATCTTCTACTCGACCTTTTGGAATAAATAACCAGTTGGCTCTTAGTAAATTTTCCATCGGCACTTTCCCAAATTCTTTTCAGTAAACCATTTTCTACAGCGAGTTCCACTCAGCCCACAACGCCTTGTTAATCAAACTCTTGTTCGACACTTCCCTCTACACTGGCCTACATTCATAATTTTCTATGAGATGTAGAAATTGCCCGATGTCCTGGTCTGCTTCTTGATCTGCTCTCCTTTGTTTAGTAGTCCGTTTCTCATCAACGATCAGACTCGTTCTTCTCACAGCCGGATCAGTGTTTAAATTGGAAATCGTATTGTTGCAATTTCTCAATCCATTTAGAAAGCTGTCCTTCGGAAGTTTTCATTTCTAAAAGCCATTTTAGAGCCGCGTGATCAGTTCGAATTAGAAACTTACGTCCTTAGAAATACTTATAGAAATGGTCGACTGTTTTCACTATGGCCAGCAGCTCTCTTCTGGTGACACAATAATTTCGTTCCCGCTCTGATAAGGTTCTTTTGGATTTGTGAAAGGACAGCTCCATTACTTGTGTTGTTTGCATCTGTGTCCAAAATCAACATGCCTTTCTGATCGGGACAGGGCAACACTGGGCTTGTACATACTGCTCCTTTTAATTTTCTAAATGCGGAGTCGCATTCTTGGGTTCAATTGAATGTTGATTTTTCTTCCGTTAATCCATGAAGCGGAGCAGCTATATTAGCGAATCCTTCTACAGATCTTCGATAATGAGAACAGAATCCTAGGAAACTCCTCAGTTCATGTTTGCCGCGTTCTTTTAGCCAATCGCTAACAGCATCTATCTTTCCTCCCATAACTTGTATGCCATCTTCAGATACCACGTGACCTAAGAATTCCACTTTATTTTGAAATAGAAAACACTTATTTGGATTGAGTTACAAGTTGGCATTCCGGAAGCGGTCAGAAACTTCTTTCAGGTTATTGAGCTGTTCATGGACCGAATTTCCCATGATCATGACATCATTTAACTATACCGGGCAAGTTCTCCATGTAAGGCCTCACAAAACAAGATGCATCAGTCGCTCAAACGTAGCTGAAGCATTAGACAATCCGAAAGGCATCACGGTAAACTAGTATTACCCGCTTCCGGTACTGAAGGCAGTTTTCTTTTTGTCATGTTTGTGTAGTGCCACTTGCCAGTATCCACTCTTGAGATCCAAGGTGGAAAACCATTTGGAGCCCGATACAGTTGTTGATGTATCATCTATCCTCGGGAGAGTGGAGCTGTCCTTCTTGGTGACTTTATTAAGCTTACGGTAGTCTACACAAAATCTAAGACTTCCATCTTTCTTCGAAACCAATACTACTGGCGCAGACCATGGACTATTTGACTCTTCAATAATTCCTACTTGAAGCATTTCATCAATTTGGTTCTCCACTTCCTGTTGTTCAGCTACTGGCATACGTCGTTGTGGTTGTGTAATTGGGTGTGCCAATCCAGTATCAATTTTGTGTTGAATTAAGCTGGTCCGACCGGTTTGATTAATTATCACAAATACGTCTGGCTTTTTTCAAGATGAAATCTTTGGCTTCTTGAAGTCTATCTGAAGTGAGGTGTTTCCGTGATTTCTCCAAAGTCTCCATCAGGTGGTCTGTATCCAATTTTGGTTCTACAAATTGTCGCTTATCTGGTAGGTCACAGTTCGATATTTGCTTAACCCGCGAGTACACGCGTGCCGGTCAAAAAGACCGACTATTGATAAAATCAGTAATTACGCCACTGGTACAAGGGTGATAGTTTTGTCCATCCAGGAATGCCTGATGCAGGTTTTCCACTACCCATTGGCCCAAATATATTTTGGTTTTTGGTTGAAGAAGGGTTCGTTATTTTCATAGTCGGTGCTTTTGACTAGGCGCGTGAACCTGAGTATCTGAAATATTTGTGTTCAAAATTGGCATTTTCTAATATTGGGAGTACTTTTGGCTGTCGATAATACGGTAACTGTACTGCATAATATAATTCCCTTTATAATAATTATGAATTCTAGGAATTATAGTTAAGTACACTTTTTTCGCGGAGACGGTCCCAAACGTATCCTGAACGCTAAGGCATGACTTACGCAGGTAATATATGAAAGTTTCATGTCTCTATTGATTAGTAAACTTGCGTAGGTCATGCCTTAGCGTTCAGAATACGTTTGGGATCGTTTCCGCGAAAAAAGCTAATAATTCATATAAACTTTTGGGCAGTCGGTCGATTTGACCGAACGCGTGTAACGACGTAATTTTTTTGGCGCGTGTAATGCCGGGTTAACTGTTTCCAGAGTTGCAATAATTTTTATTTTTACTGTTTCAGTAGAAACATTAGCAATTCCTATCATAATGTCTCCATTTGTTCTTACTAGCCCTCGCCTTACCGACAGCGGGTCAGCGATGACCCAAAATCTGATTTTCCAGGAATATCTTGCGGCCCCGCGACTTTTTTTCAGAGATCTTCTGTGAATTCTTCTACTTTATGTCAAGAATATTGCCTTTTTTCCAGGAATCCTCACTGGGGTTTTGGTCAGGATCTTAACGGCTTGGGATTTTTCTTGTATAGTTAGGACAAATTCTTCATTACCAAATTTAGGGATGTTCATAGAAGGATCGAAAGATAAACCATGTTGGCCGATCAAATCGATTCCCAAAATAAAATCATCTTCTATATTGGTGACTAATGTTCTGTACCTGAAGGTGGTAGATCCAAAAGTAAGCTCAATCATAGCTTCTCCTTGAACTGGTGCTGACTCGCCCGTGACTGTTCGTCGTGACAGGTTTCTAATGAGTGGTTGGATTGCCCGAGACTTGACTAATGTTTTTCTAATTATAGAAACTTCAGCACCCGTATCAAAAGTGATGCTTTTAAATTCTCCATTAATTGGTCTTTCGAATTTTAATCCTCTATAATGACTGCCCACTGATTTTATGTAAACAACCCTGGGGGCTTCGTC